AAAAATCCAAGCTGTGAGCTTCCTTTCTTCTCTGGGGTGCTTATGATGTCACACCTTCTGCCAGGAAAACAAAACAAGACAGGAACTTTGCACCTGGGATTGCTGAAGTCTGCAAAAATGTGGGAATTAAATAAAAAATGCTTTGAATTCAGTGTGATTTGTGCACTATACAATGACTATGTAGCATTTTCCTCTTATAAACTTGCAAGTTTTGGGGTAGATTTTAAACTAAAACTTGCATATCACCTTTGATCTTTCCATACAAACCAGTTCCTCCAGTCGCCTAATTACTCTTGTTCCCCAGGTCCCTCCATGTGTCTATACCTGTTCAGTACCAGCCTGCCAAAGAAAACATGCAAGTAACTTATTCTATTGCCTATTTTTAGGACTTGACAGGTTGATCTGTCTCATTGTTGGAGCTCCAAGTATCCGAGATGTCATAGCTTTCCCCAAATCCTTCAAGGGATATGATCTTATGGGAAGTGCTCCAGACCAGATCACTCCAGAAGAACTAGAGCCATACCATATCCGGGTTGCATGGCCTGTGGCAGAAGTAGCAGCAAAGAAAAACTGATTCAGTGCCAGTGATTTGAGGTTTTTCGAACTACTGGGATTGTTTCCACTCTGTCTTCCAACTGCCAAAACTTAGTGCAGAAAACATCAGCTGGTCTGAGGTATATACCAGTTGTTTTTGCATTGATGTTCCAAAAGTGAAAGAAATGATATGAGGGCACTACTTGTAATAGTGACTGCTCTTTTGGGGAGAGCAGTGGAGGGAGTAAAAATGGATAAAAGACCAAACGGTATATTTTCTCTCTGACATAGCACAGAGGGGAAGGTTGGGAGCCCTTGCATACAGTGTAGTGTTGAGCTTAGCCTCAGAGGGGGGCGTTTCTCTGAAATGTCCCTCATGGGAGTACCCACCCAGAAAAGATCACTTGTCTGGCTCCTTTTAAAGTGACCTGAATTGCTAAGAATCAGTCTCATCAAATCATGGCCAACTGTGCACTACCAGCCTTCCTGTTTCAGAAGAGAACAGAACTGTCCTGGGCTGAGAGCCACATATTGTTTACAGAGGGTCTTCAGCAGAGCCTCAAACTAGCCTTTTCCCTTATCTGCAGACCAAGGATCAAGCCAATCAACCACACAAAGTACTGCCAGGCATTCAACAGTGCCTACTGGTTTATCGAGCAGTATAAGTATGCAAACAGCTTGTCAATTATTCTTTTATCTTAAAAAGTTAATGTAAATGGATATGACTATGTGCAGCCCTTGTGTCTCAGAGGATTAATCACCCTTGTAATGGAAAGTGAGCCTGTCTTGGGGCCTATGATCCTGGTGTTTGAGAGATTCCTACTTTTGACTTAATTTGTAAATAAAGACTGCCCAACAAGCAGGATTTTCTCTTTAAACCTCAAGGAAGGGAGATATGGGATAGTGTTTCTCAATGTGGAGGAGCCCCAGACAAGTTCAGGCAGCTGTTAAGTTGGCTTGCAAAACAGTAACAAAGATGAAAGCTTCTCAGACTCAGATTTATTCCATCTTCAGTTCTGAATGCAGCTCTGGGAAAAGTAACAGTAACAGGATGTAGCAGCCCTACATTCTCACTCTGTACCACCCAGCACAGCTACTTTGTAGCCAACAAGTGCAATTCATGTGGACCTGTTAGAAGTGCAAACTTGGGCAGCAGACTGCCTGTCTGCTATAGCCTTTCTGCTTAGATCCCACACACACAGCTGTCAGAGTAGGCTCAGCTGCAAGGACCCACCAGAGGGTGTTCTCTGCTCCATAGGCTAGAATGAGTTGAGAACACAGGGAAAGGAGATGCACCTGTGATGTCTCTCTCTTAGGCTCCATCTACATGTGCAGATAAAGGCATGATGAGATGTAATGCATGATCCATTCAACTATGCTTCCTGCCATGCCACATGTGCATGTCAGGAGGCATGATTGTCAGATCGTGCACTAGATCCCATTGCATCTTATTGCTGGTGCAGGGGGAGTCCAATTGCAGGCCCCCCCCCAGCACCAGCAAGAAGCAGGCTCCCGTGGCTGGGAACCCTTTTGCTGATGGGGCTTCTAGCCATGGAGGTTCTCTGGGGCACTGAGCCCACTAACAGATATGGGGGGAAAAATGAAACAAAGCAGCACTTTACTGGAAGACGCATCACTGATTCTGAAGCTGATTCAATCAGCTATTACATAAAAGCATCAAAAAGCCCCACTGAAGTGCCTGATCTATAGTTTGAGCCTGTGCTGCAGTTGGGGGGGGGGGGGGGGGGGTGTCATCAAGCTTTTGGGGTTTTTTTTCCATGTCTAAGCAGCCAGAGAACCTCAACAGCTCTCGGTCCCAGTTGCACCACAACTGCAGGACTCTCAGCCCAGGGAAAAGTACAGCAGCTGTGGCCTCCCACATATGCAAATTAAAGCGGAATAGAAACCAGCTCTAAAGGTATTAGACACCCCCTGCTTAGTGCTCTTAATTGGTTTCTAAAAAACCAAGCATTAAGCAGAATAGCATTAAGTAAAACCTGCTGGCAGCTGTACAATGCCTGTGAGCATTATAACAAAACTCACTGTGCTAAGTGGAATTGGGTATCAATGTAAAATGAGTGTTATAGCAAAATAGTGCTAAGCAAAACAGCATTAAGCAGCAGATGCCTGCACACATATTGGAGCAGTAACTTCATAGCTGGTTGGAACTTTTAAAGGTTCCATGTGCAGTCAGTCTAGTGTGGAGGAGAGGGCAGGGGCATTTAGCTTGCTTGAGAGCAGCATGTGATTAACACATACTGAACCAAACTCAGTAAGCTTACATCCAGTGTCATGGCCATACCACTCTTCCTGCCACTTGTTTTGGGTGCTCTGAGAAGGCAGAGGACCGTCATAATTAGACAGATTTTTCCTTTAAAAAAAGGGGGTAATGCATGTTTGTGTATATGCATGCTTGCAGAACCTCCCTCTGGATTTTAAGAGACTTCCACAAAGGGGAACTGTAGTGCTCTCATTTTAGGCCACATCTCTTATCCTCACAATCTCTGAACGGAGCTAATTCTTGGTAACTAGTGTAAAATCAGCACACTCAGATTGGTTCTAGCTGAACTTTATCAGCTCAACCCCGTTAGCCATTTTTCTGTAGGAGATGCCCTTATCTTACAGCCAGAGTCACCCAGGTTTTACATTCTCTCTTTTTGCTGAGGTTAACAATAATGGAATGGTGGACTTGGGAAAAATGAAGGCTTTGTCTCCCCTCCACAGCCTCTGAGGGTGTGGGTAGGTCTAACTGTACTCAGACCTTAGCAGACTTGTACACCTGGCATTCTTGCATCTTATTACCTATGCTAGCTTTGTTAAAGCCAGGTCAGGTTTGCTAACGGGTGCTGCAGTCAGACTCGTGGTATGGCTACACAGCCATCTTGAAGAATAAATGACTCCAACTTCTGCTTTAACAGGACTGTCTGTATGAGCAAGAGTTGTGTGGTATTGTGGATATTTACCCTGTAGAGAGGATTCAGAGGAGAAAGGAGTAGATTATTTTCAATTCCCTTGGGGTAGCTAGTGTAATAGACTTGATCTAAACCCCAAAGTCAGTACAAGGCTTGGACTGAATCAGGCCCAGTTAAGATCACTATTAATGTCACTCCATGACACTCTAAGGTGATGAAAGCTTTTTAACAGATGAGTTTTGACATTAATTTTTCTAAGCAATGTATTTAAGCATAATGCTTGTTGAGAGACCACAGAGTTGAACATCAACTTTTCAGCAGCTCACAGCAGCCTGGAGTCAGTATTGGAAAACAATATCCTGTGTTGATTTTAATATTTAAGATGGTATAAAAAAAGTCAGAAGTTCAGAAGACAGGTTCCAGGAGGAGTCTTTGGCAAATCTTTGCAATGAGAGCTCTTGCCACAAACTGATAGGATACTGAAACAAGAAAATCTTTAATAACCTGATTATTTTAAATGATAAATGAGCCTCACAGGATTAAGCTTGTCAGAAATGACAGAAGCTGGAGTTTGGAGATCCCTTGGGGACCTCAATGAAGCAATATTTTAAAAACCTTCAGAATACAACTGGACCAGCAATGTATGTATGCATGCATGCATGCATGAACGCATGCACAGGTCAGTCACATCTTATGCAGGGGTTATGTTCTAAAGTCAGTGGGTAAGGTGAAAAAAAATTGCATATAGTGAAATCATGTTACCATGCCAGCCATGACTGCCTCTGCCTCCAAAGTCTCCCACTGCTGCAGCAGAGCTGTGCTCAGAGCTGTGCGGCTGGCAGCACAGCATGGGGTGCTGGTGGGGATGGCTGCATGGATTGTCCATGATCAATAAGTTGTCATCAAAAGATGACCCCTCATGTTATCAGGGGAAGAAAAACAAGGAAAAAAAAAAAAACAAAACAAAAAAAAAAACAAAAAAACCACACACAAAACTGTCTCTACAACTGCCACACCATGGCTAAGCATGCCTGCTTGCCCTCCCACAGCTGGATCACTTAGGAGGCCGTCACCCAACTCCTCCTCCCACTTAACAGGTTGAATTGCCTGGCTCAGGGGGAAGTGGACTTGCGCTTCAGACCTAGAGGACCCAGTTTCTTTGCCTGGATCTAGCCAGGAGGGCTAAATTACCATGTTTAGTGGTCCTAATTAAATTTAAGATGTCATCTGTTGCTTGAGCCAGTAAATGCTACTGCCTCAGAGACAGCTGCCACTAGCCCAGAAACTCAGAATTCACTTGTTCCCCTTTTCTGAGAGAAGAGCTTCTCACTATGCAAATGTTCATGTCTCAGCAAATCAGATCCACCTTCAAGAGAAGGAAGGAAAATATGCATTGAGTGCATAATTGGTAAGGCTAATTGGGACAACTGGAACCCCCAACACATTTTGTTGTTTCTCTTTAACCGATCTGGGAACAGAAGCTACTCAGTCTAGTTTTATATCATTTAAAACTATTCTTTACCAGACACTTGAAATAGTCATCATACAAGGCAATTTCATACAACAATATTTATTGATTAGAAATCCACAATCCACAGGGGTCTGACATTTCTTTGCGTGCATGTCTTGTACTAGAAATCTGCCAAAAGCTCATAGCTCCTTACCCTGTCAAGCAAAATACAGACTGTTACACACTGCAGTAACAAATTGAAGTATAACAGTTCTTAAAAGGAATAGCTCAGACCTTAGATTTTCATCTCTTATCAGAGAGAGAGTTCAAGCTAAGGTTGTAATCATCTTTGTCCATTCCAGCAAAAGGATCTGTTTGTAGTGATTCAAAGTAATACTCACCTTCCAAATTCCTGTTCTTCCACTGCTGTCTTGTGCCTAGGAGATGCAAGGGAAATAAGTGAGCGCAAGTCAAAAGCATGGCATCTAGAAGTTATAGCACAAGCAATAACGCAACCTCAGAAACAGTGGAACGAAAATGTGTAATATCACTGGAATTCATTTGGCAGAATCTGATTTCATCAGTGGTTACAAGTGCAGCCCCAGCAGCATTATAATACAATACAGAAGAATTGTGATCTTACCAGTTTGTCTTTAGGCAGATCAGAGTCCTTGCCTAGAAAAAAAAAAGGGCCACAACCTGTCAAAATACCATCCTAAAACAGATAAAAAATGTACAGATTCAGCTGTTAACATAAAGAGATATAGATATATATAAGTTCTTTATCATCAGGATTCCCACTGTTGCCAGATACATCAGATAGAAGCGAAAGACAAATTATGTTCATCACTGTGCTTCTGCTGAACTATGTTATCATCATTGTTCTGGCTTAAAATTTTAATCTATTTGTGGCACTGTTTTAGTCATCCCCTTGGTCTGTATAAATATCAGGAATTAACAGAATCCTCATCAGAAAACGAGTGGTTTGAGGCCACAAGTAAGAGCCAAAAAGTGTGTCTAGAGCTCCGGAAGCAGCTTTCCATATTACGGTTTTGCTTACCTGAGGTAGGAGCATAGCTTTGCTTCAGAAACTGCTTTAATTCTGCAACATCATAAATTGCTGTTACAAACAGATTGTAGCCCACAGCACTCATTACAAATCAAGTTGAAACGTACTGTTTCAGTATCAAAGTCCTCCTCAGTCTCTTTCAGAGAGATTCCCATTGTTCAAAACAAAAATCATCATTAACAGTACATGCTTAGAGGAAGTTTATTGATGAAATGCTACTATTGGAAGGTTGGAATTGGGCTCCAATACAATATTTAAGAAGTAGGATATAAACTAGTCAAAACATGCAGGCAAGTTTTTAGTGAATCTTTCAGCAATGCAAGTAATGCAAGAAAGGTTACTCAACTAATTCCATAAAACCGAACATGAGGGGGAACTGTAAGATTTTTTTTTTTTACTTTAACCAGCATTTGTAATTATGTCTATCAGATAAGTGTTAAGTTGCCAACTATAAAATACATGAGGTCATGTCTGGTAATCCTTTCATTTTCAGCTAGAGGGGGGAAAAAAAAAACCCCAAAATATAAACTCAGTATACAGGGTAAGTGATTTAGAGCTAGATTTTTTTTATTTATTTATTTATTTATTTTTAAAGTAAGGCACAGCCTCAGTGCTATATTCTCAGAAACCTCTTCTGTCCACTACTCTTACATAAGTTTGGGTTTAAACTTGGCTCCCAACAGTTGATTCTGAAAAATAAGAGCTGGCTGCATTACATGATGCAGTGCAAGGTTCTAGCATAGACTATTTCAGTGGAAAATAGGACCCTAACTAACTCTTGTTGGAATCAAACGATACTACCCTAAGCAAAAAACAAGACAGACTGCCTTAGTGATCTCTCAGGAACAGGGCCCAGCTCTAAGACATTCAAATTTAAGTATCAAACTTCGCAGAGTGCTGACTCTTACTTGTTTCATAGTCACAATGTGAAGTTTTCAGACATTTATCTACTCTTAGTAAGGCTTTTTGCTGAGAAGCTGGAAGCCATCTCAGGTATGCAATTGTATAGGTTTAAACTACACTCCAGTTTAGTTTCAGTCAGATTCCTTCAAAACTTAAGAAAGCTTATCAAAGGGGGGGGGGGGAAGCGCTGAAATGCCCAAGCCCAACTTATTTTCCTCAATGAAGATTTGCATTGCTTACAATGGTTAATTGAAACCAATGGTATTTTTACCACCAACTGTATGGGAAGAGAAGTTGGGTCAATAACAAGCCTTTTTTAGCAATTAAACAAGCTACAAATCATATTTTTAAAGCTTGATAAATTTAAGTGTTTAGTGCTTAAAATGGACAAAAGCCATAAACATTTCAGACCATCTTAGGAGTGGTTAAGATCCTGCACTTCAGAGGCAAGTACCACATTTATTTGAATACAAGATGGTGTCATTTCCCCCCCCCCCAAAAAACAAATCAGTATGGGGGGGAAAGCTTCTCATGTTACATTTGCATACAAGGAAACCTCATCAAAACACATTGTCCATCATTATGTTATTAAAAGCAGCATGGGCTAAGTAATGAAAACCAACTATAAAAGTTGATTAAATGCAGCCAACATTGAGCATGACCAAAACATATGGCCCATATTGGGTAAACACACTCATGGGAACCTTTTTTGTTTGGCCCTTAAAGAAAACACAGGAAACTGGCACCAGGCCTGGAGGTACTGCAACACCAAGCCAGCACCAGGAGGGCCAGAGCTGACTGACACCTTCCCCTTGGCACCAAAAACGTTAAAAGTTCAAGACAACAAAATTGAGGCATAAGGAAATACAGATGACCCGAGTATAGAGCTACACAGTAGAGGGTGTGAATGCAAAAAGTTACATAAGCAGTATGCAGCCAACTATGGCCCTAGGGGCAAGCTAGTAGAAAGCCTACATAGCAAAGAAGTTACAAGAGACCCCACACAAGAATGCTGCATTTGAGTAGGAGGTGGTTTATAGACGCATACTAAAGTTGCAAATAAAAGATGCAGGAGGACCACAGTTCATCAAAAAGGCCAAGATGCTTATGGGAACCTGCCACTTTCTTTGTGTCTGGGGCCAAATTAGCTAAAGTAGTTCTGAATTCTACTGACTGAGCAGAGTTCAGTTGTGGTGCTACCACCAGCAAGTATCCCATCTCCCAGACCCTTCAGTGTAGCGCTTCAGGTACTCCTAAATCCATGGCAGGCATCCCATGTACAAATCCTAAGCCTCGAGGCCCTGGGAGTTCAGATACCTCCTAGCCTCACTTGCCCCTAGCCAAAAGGATGGAGGAGCAAGCTAAAGGGAAAGCCCAAAAGCAATTGCCCCCCCCATTGTAATGTGTAGCCAAGATCCTCTATTGCAGACTCTTGCAGGGATGCTGCTCCATCTGAATAAGATTACGGTAGTGCCAACTGTGCCCAGTGCTGACTTTTTAGTCATGGTGAGCCCCTACACTGAATATGCATCAACTTCACTCCCAAAGCTGACCTGCACTCTTCTTTCCTCGTTTCCAGTGATTCCCATTTCTCTGACAGACATTTAAGGCTGGTGAACATTACCAAACAGGGCCCCAAAAAGTTCATTCAGAATCCCTATTGACCCTCTCAGTCTGGCACACATGATCAGTGTGGCCCAGCCTTCCATAAGATGAGCCATGCCAGGTTCCTTTACACTCCATCTGCATATATATTTTTGGAGGATCCCAGGACTCATAACAAGAACACCCAGTTCAAGTCATGAAGGTGGGGGCTAATTAGCACATGGCTGGGGGGGGGCGCACGGGGGCACGGCAGCACATCTGGAGTGAGTGCGTGCGCGCACACACACACACACACACACACACACACACTAATGCTGAGCTGTGGGGTTACCATAGGTTGAAATGCTGTTGATTCTGCTGAGGCATAAACCAATGAGAACTATATGGTAAAATGCTGAGCCTTCTGGCTTTGAAGCAATATCATGCATAGCTTGTATTTTATATAAAAAGTGAGAGCAAAGGTAAGGGGGCTAACCTAACTATTCCCCCCCGCCAGATTTATTTTCCCCTACTGTAGCAGTGGGAAGGGGACAGATTCAAGGCAGGTCTCCAATAATTAAATTCTATACCTGGAAAATTGCATCAAATTGAGGGGGTCACCTTATATTAGAGTAAATCTAGCAGGAGGCTGTTAAAGCAGAGCAACAAGGTTTGGACCAACCAGTCAGAATTCACTATATGCTTCATGTAGGTTACATTTCAGATCTCTTCTACTCCAAGAGTCAGTTGAGTTTGATGGACCAGACAACTTTTAGGACAAAACCTCTCCCATTTCAAGTAGCCATGGTGCAAGAAAAATGTGATTTCAACGTTAAATGGAATGGAAAGGAACAGTATCACTGACGTTCATTTGTCAGAATCCAATTTAATCATTGGTTATCATGTTCTTACCATCCAAAGGTCTATCCACAAAGCTGAAGGAAAAAAAAAAAAAAAGCGCATCCTTACCCAAGTTCAGTCAAAGTTCAGGACCTTGAAGTAAAAACAACAAAAAAGTGTTAGCAGAAAAAAAAAGAAAAATACAGACAACACAAATCTGTGCTACTCCACTTATAGCTATTAAATGCTACAGGGTCCTTCAGTAATGAATAGTCTACATACTGATTTCAGGTCAGACATTTGACAACATCATTATAACCCTGCAGGAATCAAATTGCCAAATGCCTACAAAATTCCAAGATCTCCTAGAAAGTAAATCAAACTTCAGTGTCTAAAGGATATTAGAACACAAAATATTAAGTCCCTGGCAGTGCCTCAAATGATGTCTACAACAAGGTAGGAAAGCCCCAAAACATCCTTCTGAATTTCAGAGACTGGATTTTGCCAGAGTAAGCTTCTAGACTCCACAAGAAGGAACCATGACCTCAGAACTCCTCTTGTACATTACTCAGTTACATTATATTTAATAGCAGAACTAGAACAAAGCAAGACCAGACTTACTTTAGGTAGCAGCACTGTGCACATCCAAGTCACCCCAATCCTAGGATGAAATGAGCTATATTAGAACAAACCAGGAAACAAAACTAGAGCAGGGTAATTGAACCAGATGCCTGAAGTCAGGTAGAGCTAATTACAGACCTTCACTGTTAAGTCAGTCTATTTGCATCTCATCACACAGGCTGCCTGAACTAACATGGTCTAAACTAACATTGGTAGGGAAAAGGCCACATGCACAGTATTACTGTGAGCTGAAGAAAGCAAGTTTAAAATTTGCTACTTGTTCACATTGGGCCATATGTTACTAGTTGCCTCCCCTCCACCACCCCCTACATTTATAGAATTCATTGTGGAAAAGGCAGCAAATCAGCACCGATTTTTCCTGGAGGTCTGGCAACAGATTCCCTGTCAACCAGCACTCACTGTTGCTAGCTAGGGCCTCATCATAGAGGCCCATCTAGTTAGTTTGAAACTTCCATAAAATAGCTGAAATGCACTTACATCATTCTCAAGAGCCCTTTGGACACCTGCAAAGAGAAAGCCATTATCAGAACCAGCAAGAAGCATCTAGAATATTCAGGTCTCACAAAAACTGTATCAGTACTTAGTCACATTTATCCTCATTAGGATCAGAGACCTGATTCAACATCATCTACAGTAGAAACCCAGCCAGCTTTTTATTCTACCCCCTTTCTCCAGTCAAGCAGCTAGTATTTGTTATGGCAGTCTTCAATTAGGGACCTTCCATGAGTCCCAATGATTCACCTCATCCTAGAGTATATTTGCTATATAGATTTATCTGTAGTGATTAGCACCTAGGTCTAAGGGCCCAAATTAGTCTACCTTTGCTGTGTGTGGCTGTTCACACCCAAGTCATACTTGACTTACTGGGTATAGTGGTGTGTGGCACTTGGGGGCATATCAAGACATTCAGCAATACAGTACAGTAGCTCAGCTTATGGTTCTTTCCCTTTGAACTGGTGTACTCAATAGGACATACAAAATTAAAGGGAATGCTCTGGACAATCATCAGTGGAAGCAGAAAGCAGCGTCAAGGCTAGAGGTGTTCATCTGTGGACAAGGGGCCAGGCAACAAACAGAAACATCCAAGTTCAACCCAGCAGTGTAGACAGGCTCCCTACCGTCTGTATCAAATGATACTGCTCTACAAGCTCTCTTCTCCATCTTGCTTCTTTAATAATACACCTCTGTATTGCCAGTACCTCATTTGGTTTTCCAGCATTCCATTTTCTACTCTGTCTCCCATTTTTGGGCCAGTAACAACACACTTACTAGCACATGTTTGCTTTTTTCCAAGTTCCTCCCTCCACCCCCACAACATCCATCTGAAAATTTCCCCTTGGGCTTCCTATGGCCAAAGCAAAACTCAGGAGCAGTAGTAAAACGCATTGTCAACAAAGTCAGAGCAGACTAGTGTAACATTTATATTAGAAAGGGTTCCCTTGAGACATTACCTTCCTCTCAAGTGTGCCATCATCTGCTCCCTCTGCAGCAGGGTGAAAGCTGGAATTTCTCCTTTAGCACCAGACAGTTTGTAAGCCAGTGCCAATCCCTCCAACACATCCTGTAAAGCAAAGGACACTTTAGTGAGACAAGTATCACATCTGTGTTAGCTTCAACATCATCTTTTCTCTAGTTATGTGGATAGATTGCAGTTTTACTATAGTCTAATTAACATAAGCTATGATACTTAAATTGTTTTACACTCTATACTTCCTATACTATTAATGCTCAACCATTATGTATTGAGGTACACAGGTGTCCAAGATATTTATGGACACAAGAACCAACTGCCAGATTAGCAAACTATAGGAGGCTGCATCAGATAGGAGCGAAAGACAGTATAGCATGTTCATCACAGGCCATCTGCTGAACTATGTTATCATCATGTTGAGCCTCCACAGGGTATGGGAAGGAAGGGTAAAAGGGAACTACTCCCTCCTCTTCCCCACTCAACCCCCCCCCCAAAAAAGGGGGGGGGGGGGGGGAGGAAAAAGGAGACAGGGCCAAATGCAGCAAATTCAAGAAACAAACCAAGTTTGCTTGGAATTTTCAAGAGCCCTGAAGACTTAGGCAGTATAAAGGTGCCTGTTGTTAATTCTAAGAGTTTAGTTTTACTATACACTTTTAATATGCCACTTCAAGCAGCCCTTTTAACCAAGGAAACAGTAGCATCCCTTCTGTATTCATTTCTTTCCCTTCTTCCTGTGAATCCACATAGTAAAAAAAAAAAAAAAAGCGCAGTACTGTAGGTGTTGCAGAGGTCACCAAAAATGGTATTCCACAAGGAGAAAGGAATATTACTGTTCAAGACTTACCTTTCATTATCAGGATTCATTCCCATAGCCTAGAAAGGAAGAGAAAATTAGACCCATTACATTTTAGCATTATTAACATCTACCAGAAGGATGGTAGAATTAGTCAGATACATCAGATAGGAGCGAAAGACAAAGCAGTACTCATCATTGTACATTCTGCTGAACTATGTTATCATCATTGTATCTGTATTTGTAAGACTGCTTGAGTTGCTACTCAAATAAGGAGCTGTTTTAATGTAATCTACCCAAAAGAGTTTTGAATGACTTAAAATGCTCTAGAAAAGTTTGTCTGACCAAAGACAACTATCCCATCAGCCACTGCAAGGTGTCAAAATTGTCCTAGTACATTAAATTAGTTAAGAATTAAAAAGCATTCCCGTCCCACTTCTCATGAGTCTTGCCATTACATTGCCTCAGCTCTATGTAGGAAGAACCCCCCTCCCCCAAACATATTCCATTTTTCCCCCGGAAAAAAAGTTGCTGTTTTTTCTTACCATGGAACCTCTCTTCCACAGGCTTGTAACTGGCTCAATCAAATCCTAAGGAAATAAAATGAAGTTGTAAAACAGATGCAGAAAAATCAACAGACTAGCATTCCCTGATAGTACTGTGCCTCAGCTCAAAGTTAAGGTGGTAAGAGCTCTCATCATGCTCTTGGTCAAGAGTAGCAAATAAGTGTCATCATTGTGGCACAGAAGAAATTAGCATTCTTAGTTGCTGGAACACTGTTAGTCTACTAGCCTGATCAAAGACCAGTGGTGCCTAACATCCCCCTCCCCAGAGTAGTACAGATCTGGACATGGGGGGAGGGGAGAAGGAGGAGAGGCAGGCAGAGCAGGGGGGAAAAAGAGTGGGCAGTAAAAAGCAGCCCAGCCCTGATCCAGACATGCAGGGAGACCAGCAGGGTGGACAGTGGGCATAGGGGCAAGGAGAAGCCCCACCCCAATTCCACAGCACAGCTATGGCCCCTACAGCCAGGGCTAGACTCAACCACATGGAGCTTCTCCTGCTGCCAGTTTTTCTGACCTGTGGGGTCCCATGGACTGGACTGTCATGGCTCTGCAGGCAAGAGGTTGAGCACTCCTGATATAAGCCATTATCTAAATCAGTGGTTTCCAACCCGTTTTTTGTTTTTTCTTTGCTGCAACCCTAAATTGGCCACCAACAGGACATCCCAACCTGGTGCTGCAGGGGCTGCTGGGAGCAGAATAGCAGGAGCCCAGGGCAGGGAAGTCATTGCCCCCTTTGTGCACAGCAGCCCAGCCCCACCCACCCCTCCCAGGCCAAGCACATGGGTATGCATGTGCATGCAGGCCCCCCCCATGACCCTGATTTGGGTTGCATCCCAAGGTAGGGAGCCAATGATCTAAATGTAGGTTTCCAAGTAACTTTGCTCCAGATACAGCATACAGAAAAATAAGACAAACCATCTTTACCTTAAGAAATGTCATCAGGACTCTAGGTTTCCTGGGCCTGCAAATGAAACCAAATAAAGTTTCAGACATTTAAGTTCCATATCTTTGGCAAGGACGATAAGCACTGAATGAAGCCTCAGGGCAGAGTTGTCAGAAATCACTTCTGTCCACTACTCTTATGCTCAAAGCATCATAGGCTGTCCATTTTCATAACAGTCTTATTTCAGCCCCTTCAGACACACTGCTGGTGTCACTATCTTTATAAGGATGAGCTAGCACACCCCAAATCAAGCCACTACTTAACCCAACTCTCCAAAAAGTTTGAGTAGTTAAAAATGGAGGAGGAAATGATCACTTCAAATCCCATAAGGCTGATTAAAGTTCTATGAAGCAATCCATGTACAGCCACTAAGATCATGTGATAAACTTGGTTATATAAAACACAGGGAAAGAATGGCACTCCTCACACAACAATTACTACCGGTATGGACATTTAGAGCCAAGAACCATACAAATAATTACCAGGTAGGTTACAGAGCAATCCCAGCCTTACATCTGGAAATCAGCAAGTACTCCAGGCAGCTAGAAGCGTTCCCCCCTGCAGTAGCTTTTTTTTTTATTTATTTATTTATTTTTTTTGTTATTAAGCCTCATACTTAAAATGCAGTTCCAACCTGTTTTCCAGCCAATGAAAAAAGAATGCCAAGTCATCTCAAGTCTTCTGAAAGAACAGGAAAGCAGTGTTAGTAGTCCAACATTTCTTTGCTCTCAGAAAAAGCTTTATTCCTAAAAGCAAAACATGCAAAAAAAAAAAAGATTCTCATCCTAAAACTTGTCTGGTAAGAAGTGAAAGAAAACCACTCCAGGGTTCTCCATTCCTAATATACATGAACAGGTTTCCCTGTAGTGTCTTATAAATACACTTAACCTTTTCTGTAAGCCTGCTCCCCAGCATGTAAAGTGCCTGTTAATACCAACTACAAGGCCTTCTGTAACAAGACAAATCCAGCCTAGCAGCATGGCTTAGATGATCACAGAGTTACCTTTATACAAAACTACACCTGCATAAGGGCATCCTGTATAAGTCCTGCAATAAAATAGTTTTACTCTAGACCACGTGAATTACAGCCATAACAGCTACGCCACTGACCCATGGTCAATACATCCCCATGTCCAGCTCAGAGATGTTGGTATTCATCACCCTCTCAGATGTCCCTACCAACAGAGTTTTCATCACATGCAGGTACATGGGAAGCAAATTCAACCAAGAGGCGATGCTAACACTAAAAAGCAAGCATAAGTCTAACATGCTGGTTGTTACTACAACAAAACCCTTCCTAAGGAAGGAGACCAAGTCGCAATTCAATGCTCAGCAATCCTTCTCAACCCCATGCTCATGCAGTGTTTTTAAGTGGAAGGTCCTCAGCTGTAACATGCCTTCTCCACCAGGCACCTTCTACCTAGGTGCATGAAGTAACTTACTAGTTCTCTTCTCCACAACCAGTTCCTGCCTCTAGCCCCACAACTCCCGACTGCAAAAGCTGCTGGAGGGGTACGTGCTGCTTCAGTCAACTCATTGTATAATGCTGGATTAGTCACTGGATATCAAAGCAACAAGGCAGGACCACAAAGCCAAGTCACGCCCTTCTCCACCCACCCGCTGGTGGAACTCAGCAGTCCGAGGCTTCCTCTAGTCTAGGGCAAAGGTTTGCAATACGGCTTGCAGGCCAGATACAGCCTGCAGAGGGGCTCTGTCCAGCCTGTAGTGGACCCCTCAGTCCTGTTTGGCCCATGGCACATCCTGCCACCCCAGGCACACAGCAGGGCAGGGGCAGCACCACAGCTAGACTGCATTCCTAAGCAGCCAAGGAAGTGGCTGCTCTCCCCAGACTTGTGGTACTGACAGGGACCCACGTGCACAGCCTCAAGTCCAGCGCACCCCATAACTGCTCTGGACCACCTGCCCATGCTGAGCGGTGGTGGCAGCCTGGCAGAAGCTGCTGCTTGGAAATGCCCCCTCCTCACCAAGACCTTTCTGGCTGCAGCTGCCCAGGGCCAGCACCCCGGCTACCCTGCAGCTCCTCTCCACTGCCTTCCTGTGGGGCAGCCTGGAGGCAGTGGCCACAGGGATGGAGGAGCCACAGGGCAGACAAGGCAGGCCTTGGGTAGCTGTAGCAAGAACGCCCCAGCAGCAGTGTGGGGAAGGGCCACTTCTCCCCTATGCCCAGCAGCAGCTTCTACCCAGCAATGCTCAGCGTGGGTGGGACAGACCCGGGGTCGGTGCTGGAGGGAGGAGCCGCAGCCCACGTGGGCTCCGGGCTGGCCAGGGGCAGTGCTGACTGCTGCGTGCACGGCCTGCGGGCCCAGGTCACTGCTCAGCCCTGCTGCAGGGAGAGCCTGGCACCGTAGCGCTGAGCAGGCAGCACGGGGCACAAGCCAGCTCAGGCCCCCTGCCAGCGCCACGAGGCGGGGCGATACCGCCCGCGTCCCGAGCGCCGCGCTCCCCCAGGCAGAGCCCAGCGCCCGCCGCGCAGGGGGGCTCCCAGGGACTGCATCCCCCAGCGAGCACCGCGCCGCGGGGGAACACCGACGCGGCAGCCGGCGGCGCGGTGCACTCTGGGAGCTGTAGTGCACCACAGCGGGACTCCCGCGTGGCCACGGGTCCGGGCTCGGGGCGGCCTAGAGCCACGCGCCC